TACGCCCAGCTGTCGAACTGGCGCAATTCCCGCGCTTTTTAGCAAGCACAGGGCTAAACACAGGGCCCCACCTTTGGATCCAGTGGCTCTTTGGACTTACTACTTGCCTTCGAGGCCTTCTGGGCGTGAGGTATGTGAAACGTTCGGAAATCTCGGCCGGTAGTGGTACCCATCCGGCTACCGCCGCTTAGCCGCAAACTTTTAGGCATCAGCTTGAGCGTTTCCCCGTGGGTCGTAATTCTCGCCTCCTGAAGCTCGAAATCCGTTTCTCTCGCTAAACCCGAACTCGACGCAACTCCGTGTATTGTAGCCGGTAGAACCCCCGAAAATCGCGGGTCTAAACACTGCGCCGAAACGTTGTCCCGCTGGTGTACTGCCCTGTCTGCGGCGCAACTACCCTTGATCAGGGGGTGCTGTGCCGCCTGAAGTACAGTGTCGGCTGCTGCTAATTTTCGCCGATCGTGGTGCAGGCGCAGCAGTGACCCTAGTGATAGACAGTCTAGTCGTAGGCGGATTTTTCCGAACTTTTCGGTGGATTGAAAAACGACTTCCGTCCCACACTATGCCGCTCCTGCCGAAAACGCCAACGACGCACCCTCCTGCAGCCACACCGGCCACACCGGGGCGGGACGACGGTAGACCCCCGCTTTCTTCGGGCAGTCGCCACGCCGTCTCTCCTCGCCGTTGCGTTTTCCGACGCAAAACACCATGCGCCTGGCCTGCCCGGCCAGCTGTCGTTTCTGCCGTGAAGTCACCCGAAATCTTCGCGCACAGTGACGACGTTCACCACGTGCCGAAGACCTCCGAGAATTTCGTGCGCAGCATGACGAAAACGCCCGACGCCACGTGCCGCACGCCTTAATTCCGAGATTGTCGCGCGCAGTTGGCAACCCACGTGCCGACGCCCACTCGCACAACAGTGACGACCTTGCTGCTTCCGAGAATCTCGCACATGCAATGACGCCAACATGCCTGACGCCAACTGCCGCATGAAAACAGTGACGAGATTAACGGAACCGACGAAAATAACAAAAAGCATTTAATGTGCGACAGCCATAGCTGCCCACCACCCGGGGGGAGGGAGGCCACGGTCAATCCCGACCGTCGAGGGCAAGGATCCGTCGGTGCCGCAGGAGCGCCAGAGAAATTCATGGCCGCTAGGAGCAACTACCCGTTCTCCTGGCCGGCTACTGCGCTACTCCTGTCACCACGGCATCCTTCCCTGTCCCCCCCCCGAGGGGTAATACACTCTAAAAAACGGGGAACCTAGGAACTTAGGCTCTGATACCAAGTGTTATGAGTTGTACTAAGAAGAGTGCGCGGAAGACTTTATAAAAGAGATGAGAATTACAGAATGTCGAGAATGATAAAGAGGCATGCATTTATAGGGTCGAAAACCGTGCTAGGCAAGGACCTCGATGTGCGTGGCTCGGGAATGTCGCAATTGGTGCGGGGCGACTCGGGGCTGGTTCGGTACGGAAGTGTAGGCCGAGCCCAAACTGACGCGAACAGTTCGGGCTGTCCTCGCTAGGAACAGCCTCTACAGTAATGAATTCTAATTCATTACAGCTGCAGTCATGAATGCACAATTATATTTCACTATTCGTAACAGATATTACTCTCCTACAGCCTTACCAGTAATGGGATCATTCCATTGGGATGTATGCATACTAAACAGATCACATGCTTTACAGTTTTTAGATACCTCACAGCAACAAGCTTGTTTTCAGGCCATCTTGGTTTCAAAATTAAAACACATCAGGTCTCAACCTTTGCAGCCCCTGCAGCACGAAAATTTCCGCTGCCCTGACTCATAATTTTTGCCCGAGGGTTTCTCGTATTAGTTGACGAACTTCCGGGCGGTGAAGGGACTTGCGGCGGGGTGGGGGCGGGCGGCGAGGGGGACTGCGTCACCAGTGGCGGGGGCAAATTACCCCGGAAATGATTCGAGTTACCCTGGGAATGTTCCAAAGTTTCATCTGCGTTGTTTCCCCCTGTCAAGCCAACCCCTGCTTCCAACCTCCCTCTTTCAGCCGTGCCTCGTCCCCCTACTGCTTGCCCCCTTCCCCCACCTCCCCCTCCGCGTCCCCCACCTGCTGCTCCCCCTGCTCCCCCTGCCCCTCTTCCTCCCCCCTCTCCCAACCCCCCTCCACCCCTTCCTCCTCCCCCTCCTCTTCCTCCTTCCCCTCCCCTCCCTCCCCCTCCCCTCTCCCTCCACCTCCCCTCCCCAGACCATCCCTCCCTCCACCTCCCAACCCCCTTCCTCCACCTCTTCCTCCCCCCTCTCCCCTTCCTCCCCCTCCTCTCCGCCCATCTCCTCCCCCATCTCCCCCTACCCCTGCTCTCCCCCCAACACTCCCACGGCTAGAGGTGCTACTATCAGGACTAGCCAACTGCCCCTCACCTCCCCTCCCATTCATCCCTTCCCCTCCTCCTCCTCCACCTCCTCCACCTCCTCCTCTTCCTCCTTCCCCACTTCCTCCTCTGCTCTGTCCCATACCACCGCCTCTTCCTCTGTCACTGGGAATCGTCCCTTCCCTGTTACTGCTCCCCATCTCCCTTCCAGCAGCAGCAGGAGGGGGAGGGCCAGGGAGAGGAGCTGGCTGTTGCAAGGGAGGAGGGGGCGCTCTGGCGTTCGTCCTCCCACCCATACCTCCAGATTCTCCTGCTGCAGCTGATACCCCTCCCGACCCGTCCCTAGTTCCTTGCCCTACTGCAGCTGCTCCTTCTCCTCCCCGTCCTGCCCCTCCTCCTGCTCCTCCTGCTGCTCCTCCTGCTGTTCCTGCCTGGGATCCAGCAGAAGCAGAAGCACCGGCAGCAGCCAGCCGTTCATACCGGGCAAGGGCTTGATCTGTAGACGCCTGCAGCAGCCTTTGCTGCTGCTGCTCCCCCTGTCCCTGCAATGCACTTGCAGAAAAACCACCAGCAGCAGCATCACCACCAGCACCAGCACTAGCGAGCCGCTCAAATCGGGCTAAAGCTTGGTCTGTAGACGCCTGCAACAGCTGCTGCTGCTGGTGGTGGTGGTGCTGCTGCTCCCGCCCCTGCCCTGCACTCGTGGAAGAACCATCACCAGCAGCACCACCAGCAGCACCACCAGCCAGCCGTTCAAATCGGGCTAAAGCTTGGTCTGTTGACGCCTGCAACAGCTGCTGCTGCTGTAATGGGTTCATTGCCCAGCCCCTCTCACCTCCTACCTGCCCCCCTCCTGTCCCCACACGCTCCCCCCCTCCCCCTCCTCCTCCCGTGGTTCCCCCACCCAGCAGCCCTTGCAAGCTCGCTAGCCCTGCCAAGCCCCTGGCTAAGCCGCCTAACCCCCCTGCTCCTCCTCCTCCTCCCCCTCCCCCTCCTCCTCCTCCTCCTCCTCCTCCTTCCCACACCCCCACCATCTCCCCCCACCTTTTCTCCCCCCACTCCCGCCCCCCCTCCTCCTGCTCCTCGCCCTTCCATTCTTCCTCCCACCTCCCGTTCGAACCCCCCATTCATCCCACCCCCCATCCCGTTTCCTCCCGCACCCCCACCCAACAGCCCTTGCAGGTTAGCCAATCCCGCTAATCCACTGCCCAACCCCCCTAATCCCCCTTTTCCCCCTGCTGTTCCCCCTCCCCCTCCGCTTCCGCTCCCCCCTCCCTCTCCCCCTCCCCCTCCCGCTAAACCCCCCTCGCTTTCCCTCCCAAAGCCACTTCCTCCACCGATACTTAAACTTTTCCCACCAGCACTTAATTCCTCCTGCTTTCTGTCACGATCCGGGCTCTTAGCACCAGCAACTGTACTCTCTATAGTCTGCTCTGCTAACCACACTCGCAGCGGATTTAGCCTCTTTTTTAACAAATCCTGTTCCGAAGTGACCTTTGAGGGAAAACCCAGGACCGAGGAAGATTGTGATTGGCCGGGAGGGGAAGTGGGAGATAGAGCTGCATTCCCTCTCCGAGAATACTCGTTAGAAGTCGCCTCTCTATAAGCACTCTCCGCACTGTCACCAGCCTCGAGAGAAATCTCGAAAAACACCCCCCCACTTCCACTATCGGACACTCCAGCACTGGAATTAACACTCACTCCCCTTCCCCCCCCTTGCTCCTGCTCCTTCCCATCCCCACCAGCCCCCCCCCACTCCCCATTCCCCAACCCCACACCCCTACCCCCTCCACCATCACTGCTCCTCCCAAACGCTCCTCCTCCCTCGTCCCCACTCTCCCCTCCTCCTACCCCTCTCTCCCCTCTCTCTCCTCTCTCTCCATCCTTACTAGACATCGAACTCAGAGGAGCAAGAGCAGCTAATAAGTCCTCTTTTGAAATAGAGCCTCTCCGGTTCATACTTAATCTCCTGGGCAGGTCACTCTGCATGGAAACCGAACCACTTCCCATACCTCCTCCACCTCCTCCCGAGCCTCCCGAACCTCCTCCCAAACCTACCAGATTTCCTGCCGAGCGTCCCCCCGGACCTCCCGGCAGCCCTCCACCCGAGCCTTCTCCCAAACCAGCGAGGTTCTCCGCCGAACCTCCCAGCGGCCCTCCGAACCGCCTCGCACCGTCCTCCTCCCCACTACTCACCACCTCTTTCCCTCCCATCCCTCCTCCTTCCCCACCCCTCCCTCTCCCTCCTTCCCCAACCGCCAAAACAGCTGCTGCTGCCGCTGCTGCCGCGGCAGCAGCAGCTGCCTCCCTCTCTCTCTTCTCCCTCTCCTCTCTCTGAATCCTCGCTAGTCGCTCTTCCATCCCCTCCTCCCACTCACTATCCGTCCCCTCCCACTCCGTCTCTGTCAGTTCCCCCAGCGTTGACCCCCGCCTGTGCCTCCTCCGCCGCCCATACCCCGAACCTACCGCCATCTCCCCGCCGAAGCTGTTTCCCAAGCCTCGGAGCAGGCCCGTGCCGAACCCGCCGAACCCGCTGCTGCTGCCGGTGCTAAGGGGACTGCCTAAGGGGCTACTGAGAGGGCTACCGAGGGGGCTTCCGCCCAAGGGGCTTCCCCCCAAAGGGCTTCCCCCAAGGGGGCTTCCCCCTAAGGGACTCCCCCCACGGGGACTCCCCAAGGGGCTGTGTAAGGGGCTCCCCCCAAACGGACTGCCCAGGGGACCGTGTGCTATTAACGAGGGCGAGGTAGAATCACGCCCGTTAGAAGCACCACCACCAGCAGAAGCACTAACAGCAGCGATACTGTCCCCCAGGCCTAGACCGAGGCTAATTTGACTCCCCAAACCGCCAACCGTTCCTGCTGCCGAACCTCCTGCTGCCGAGCCTCCTGCTGCTGCTGCTTCCGGCCCCCCTCCACTACCTCCCGAAAGTCGCCGGACGTGCGATGACCCAAGCTCATGCCCATGCCCATGCCCATGCTCATGCGTACCTGTTGCTTCATTCCCCCTCATAAATCGTTCCCCCTCACCCTCCCTCCCCATACCCATCCCCATGCTCATGCCCATGCCATTCCCACCCATACCTCCCCCCAAACCTCCTCCCATGCCTCCTTCCATACCTCCTCCCAAACCTCCCACCGCAGCTGCCGCCTTCTCAATCTCCGCCTTCATCATCTCTGCTGCCAAGCCTAACCTCTTCTCCCGAGCCTGCTGCCGAGCCAGCTGCCGTTCTTCCCGCCGAAGCTCCAACTCCTGGTCCGTATCATATTCCTCCACCTCTACCCTTTTCTCCAACCGCCACAACCGTTCCTGCCTTTCCCTCCTCTTCGCCTCCTCCCTCTCCTCCCTCTCTGTGTCGTAATCCCCCTCGGTTGTTTCGCCCTCTGTGTTTGTATCGAGTCCCTTTTCCCGCCACCTGTCCAGCCGCCCGTGTACGCTCTCGTCGTCTGACGCAGAGATGTAACCGCCGCCCCCACCGCCGGCCATGCTGCCATATGACACGTAACCGCTGCCCGCGTTACCACCTGACATGTAACCGCCGCCCGCTCCGCCAGATGACACGTAACCGCCACCACGCGTACCTGCGGAGATGTAACCGCTGCTGCTGCCATCATCAGATGTAACCGTACTGCCGCCGCCGACACCGTAACCCGAACCTCCTTCTTGCTCCCTCAAACCACCTCCCCCAATCCCGCCTGCTGCACTAGAAGCACCACCAGCACCTGTACCAGATTTACTGTCACTGTCCCCTCTAAACCCACCAGCACCAGCAGCAGAACCACCACCTGCAGTATGCTCATCCCGTTCAGTGCCAGTGCTGGCATTAGCAGCAGCAGCGGTGGCAGCACCACCAGGCCCATTATCCCCAGGGAAGAATCCCCCAAAGGAGAGGGTACGGGCCGGGGGAGAGAGCGGGGAGAGCGGCGAGAGGGAGAGGACGGAAGAAGGGAGAGGAGAGAGAGGGGAGAGCGGGGAGAGAGGAGCGAGAGGAGAGTGAGGGGCAGGGGAGGGGGCTTCGGACGAGGATGCTGGGGAGGGGGGAGTGGCTAGACCAGGACTTAGGCTGAATCCAGATGATACACTCCCTAGAGGGGAATTTGCTGCCGAGCCTGCTGCCGAGCCTCCGGCTGGCGAGGCTGTGCCGAAGCTGGGTGCGGCGGAGCTGGTTCGGGAGAGGAGGGATAAGCTGCCAGTCTTTCTATGGGCCACAATTCCTTCCCATCCTCCTGCCCATGCTCCCCCTCCCCCTCCTCCTCCTCCCCCTCCTCCCCCCCCTCCTCCTGACGCTCCTGCTCCTCCTGCTGCTCCCACTCCTCCCACTCCCCCTCCCCCGCCTCCTCCTCCCCCTCCAACTCCCTCCCCTGCGGTATCACCAACACGCCCCAGAGTCAACCTGAGGAAATGGGGAGGAAGCAACCTCCCGCCTCCCACCCCAGAATTGGGCGGCGAAAGCGATGCAGTGCGGGCAATCCCTAGGGGACTGCCGCCCAGGTGAGTGCCGCCCAGGTGACTGCCGCCCCTAGCAGCAGCAGCAGAAGCCCCGCCTTCCTCCATGAGAATGGACGACATGAGACGAGGCACCCCTTCCCCTAGGCTGTGAATATTCGTACCACCAACAGCACCAGCACCGCCAGCAGCAGCAGCAGCAGCAGCCACCTCCAAGTGGACTGGCACCTATACCACCCCCAACACCACCAGCACCGGCACCGTTACCAGCAGCAGCGGCACCACCCCCACCACCACTGCGACTGGCAACCCCCGCAATCCCACTAAGCGTCCTACCCAGCCCACTAGGAGGAGTCCCCTTCACAAACGCAGTCAGCTCTGCTTCACTCATCGTCACCGAACCTGCCCCCCGCCCCGGAATCCCCGAGCCAAACCGCCGAACCGGCAGGTTCGCCAGCTCAGGGTCGGTGGCCGGCAGCCACGGCACTTGCGGGCGGAGGTTCGGCGCGAGGGAGTGGTGGGAGCGGGAGGAGGGGGAACCGGGGGAGGGTGATCCGGGGGAGGTGGGACCTAAAGAAGTCCCAAGCATGTTGAGTCTGTCTACAGCGAATCTGGGATTCGCGCTGCCCCAGGTAAAGCCTCCCCCAGATCCGCCCCGCAGGGCTGAGAGATCTACTGAGGCGTGGCGGACGAGAGCAGAGGCGGCTAGGCGTTGGGCGGGGGAGCGATTGGCTGGCAGCTGGGAGCGAGGGGGAGGGGTGGGAACATGAAACGGCGTCCCTGCTTCTGCTGCTGCTGCTGCTGCTGCTCCTGCTCCTGCTCCTGTTGCCCCACTGATACCCTGCTTCTGCTGCTGTTGCTGCTGATCTCTACCTGGACTTACCACGGTCCCTCCTCCCCCCCTCACACCCCCTCTGGGGCTAGAATCCCTCCCAGGAGAGGCACCGCCCCCAGTTCCCACCTCCCCACCACCACCTCCACCACCACCAGCACTGCCCCCCCCTTCCTCAGCCCCACTAGCATTAGGCAGCAATCCTAAGTTCTTAGCCGCTTCCAACCGTTTCATAGCCACCAGCTGGGCGGCAGCCAGCCCTCCGAACCCTCCCCCGCCGCCGCCCAGCCCGCCGCTCATCTCCAGCAGCTCGGCAGGTGGCGCCGACATCTGTCGCCCGTGGAACCGCAGGCCGGGGGATAAGGACGCGGAAGCAGCAAAGCCAGAGCCCATGCCCGAACCGAAACCCGAACCAAAAGCCGAACCGAAACCCGAACCAGGTGATGCTGGTTTCTGCACTCTTTCCAAAGGGGTCCCTGCTAGCAACGGTGCCCCTCCTTCCTCCTCCCTAGCGCCTCCCGTTTTCCCCGCGCCCCCACTTCCCCCAGTTCCCCCCATTCTCCCTGCTCCCCCAGCACCAGTCCCCCCGCCAGTAACACCCGCACCTGTTAACTCCTCGAACAAAGGAGACGGCGGGGGGGAGGTAGGAGACTCAAGAGGAGTACCTCCCCCTCCCCGCCCTCTCCCGCTACTCCTCTCCCCCGCGCCTCCCCCTCCGCCTCCCCCTGCCCCTGCCCCTCCCCCTGCCCCTGCACCTCCCCCCGCCCCAGAAGCGCGAGCTTCCAGGCGGGCTGTAGCGGCGGCGGTTGTAGCAGCAGCGTGGCCTGACGCACCCGTGACAGCTGCAGCAGCGGCGAAGAGAGCTGCTTCTGCAGCAGAGGAATTGCCGGCTGTAGCGCTGCGGCCTAAGGGGCTTGGACGACGGGGCTTTTCTATGCGCGGGAAGATGGTCGCGAATACTGGCGGCTGTTGCTGCTGCTGCTGCTGCTCCTGCTGGTGCTGCTGTTGCTGCTGCTGCTGCAGCTGCTGCTGCTGCTGCTGCTGCTCGTGCTGGTGCTCGTGCTGGTGCTGGTGTTGTTGTTGCTGTTGCTGTTGCTGCTGTTTCTCCTGCTCCCTATTGTGCCCTAACGGGATAAAGCCTCTGAACCTCGTCTCCCTGTCTTCATCCTCTTCTTCCTCCTCTTCCTCTTCTTCCTCTTCCTCCTCTTCTTCCTCTTCTTCCTCCTCGTCCTCTCCCCCCTCCTCCTCCTCCTCTTCCTCCTCCATTCCTTCACCATCCGAACCGTCCCGCACCGCCCCTCCGCGACCATCTCCAGGACGCATGCCATACAACCCTAACACTCTCGACTTTAATCTCGTAGTCCCTAAAATATCCCCCTTACCTTCACTCCCCGAGTCGCCATCGAGCGAAAGCGCGGCCCAACCATCGTCCGACACGTCATCTTCTCCGAGTACCTCCGCCTCCCCCGCATCTTCCGCGTCGGATTGCGCAACATACAGCTTTAAACCTTTTCCCGAGCCGCCCTTTTCATCCAGACACCCCCCGGCGTGTCGATCTGGCACTTTAACCTTAATCAACCTTACTCCTCCGTCCCCCCACCACCCGCCTAATGCCATTTCCGTCGCCCGCGCTCCCCCTTTCCCCCCCTTCCCTCCCGCGCCGCCTTCCCCAGACCGCCCCTTCTTCCCGCCATTCCGAATCGCAACCCTAGCCGCTGCTTCTATCGCGTCCGCCGCGTCTTCGAGCGCCGCGGCGGCGCGTTCCCCCATGCGAGCGCTCTCTTCGCGCGCTTTCTCCACGTCACGGAGGACACGTGTCATCTCCTCCTGTAGCCTGGCTGCCTCCCGCCGAGCCCGCGTCGCCAGCCCTGCAAGGAGCGCCACATCCAAGAAATCGCCGCCCTGAACAGGCCGCAACATGCCGTTAATCGGACGGCCTGCCTTTCTCCCCTTCCCCTCTCCTCCCGATCCCCCCCGACGTCCCCGCCGCTCCCAGTCCTGCCATGGCGGCTTCCCCCGCCGCTGGTTCCGCGCGCTCGTTTCTCCGCCTTTTCTCCCGATATCCCCTTTTGCCACTGCTTGCGCAGCTGGTTCTCCGCGCGTTCAAGCTCTACGGTCTGCAGCGAAGCGGCTTGGATTATCTGCTTGTCGCCTAGCACAGCACGCTTCTCTCCCGGGAAGCTCCCTGCGACTGCTTCACGCGACGTTCTCTGCGAAAGATCTGGGTCGGCGAAAAATCGCATCATTGTCTGTCGCTGTGCGACGTCGCTACTTCTAGGACAATCGCATGGTTACGGTTGTCGCTGATGACGACCATCAGAGAGCGCAAGATCGCGAAAATATCCGAAGATCAAGCATCGAGGTCAGACATTTCACTTAAAACACTATCTTATGTTAAATATTATATTATAAGCACGGGAGACTCGCTAATGGCAAAAACGCTCCTCTTCAGCCCCTGCTCGCTAGTACTGTCAATTGAGTGTTCAGGCGTCAGCTGAGAAAGGACACGCAAATTGCTAAATTGCTGACTACGATAAAGTCGTCTATTAGACGCAAAACATAAATAAGACTCCACCCCGTCGACTATGGTGAGCGTAAGACACGGAACGGATGATTTGGGGAAGCACTTGGAAGAAAAAACGCAATTGAGAGCAAATGATAACAAGAGCGAGGTTTGAGGAGGAATCGAGGACGTCCCCAGGTCAGAGGTGCTTGGAGCTGTTTGTGGTGGTGGTTGGTTGAAGGTAGCCCCGGGCACCTAGAGATTTATCGGCTTTCGCGATAATCAGCACTCGAATATTTCTTCGTGTCAGATTGTAACATGTCTGTTCTCTCGTGCTGCCTCCTCGCCGCTACGCTGCGACTTTTTGCGAGGTTCTCGTGTACCCTCGCTCCGGTGTGGAACTGCGCTCGGGACAAGCAAGGTTGGTTGGTCACTTCAAGCAAGACCCCAAGCTGTCCAACTTTCACACCACTAAACGACAAATTTTAAGGGCCGTGGCTTGGTGAAGTGGCGCAAAGCCGAAACTTGTGGCTCGCAAATCGCAGAAGTACAGGCTTGGAGATTGCTGGGGAACCAGGCGAGCTTGGGAGCATCTTCCTCCCGACGTGATTCGTGGAGTTTGCCAGACCTGTCAAGATTAGGTTCGGGGCTGCAGTTTGGCAGTTCTATGGGACATCAGACCGTGAGCATGTTGTTAGGTTCGGCTGGTGCCCTTGATTCAGTGGCTCGATAAGAAAATAGCGGCACCCTCGCAAGAGCTGACACAAATGTATAGCTGTTACGGGTGCAATAAATCTAGGTAGCTAGGATTGCACTAAGGTGTCAAACGAGTACAAAGTATGAGCGAAGGCATGAGCGAATACTTATACGCGAAACATGCAAACGGTAACGCGGTGCGTGCGAGCTAGCTAGTGCTAGGCTGGCATCGAGGTTCGGGCTAGTCCCGAAGCGTAGGCCGACTAGGTCGGGCCAGCGGTGCATGGTTTGGTGAAACAGTGCGCGCGAAGTTGGCGAAGCCCCGTTAGCAGTAACGGGCGAACAACGGCTGCTGCTGTACGCGGTTTTGATGGTCGCAGTGAGGAATGGCGATGAAATTCCTTACACTACCCCGCCCCCCTCAAGAAGTCCCCTGCGCTACGCGGATGCGTGTATATCGCGGAAACCCAGGCTCTTCAAGTACACTTGCAGGGCAGGGTGGTTTTCGATGTTGGCCAGGGGCACCCAGCTATCATTAATTGGTGTGCGGTCCTCGTGCGGCACCCAGCGAACGAGGAACTCGATCCTCTTGATGCCTGTGGGGTGTCGAATCTGATGGATGAGGATCTTCTCGGGCTCGATGATCGGCTCCAAAGGAGGGCGAGTCATGGATGGCGGGTGGTGACGAGGCAGTTGGCTTGTGGTTGGGATGTAAGGGCGAAGCAAGCTGACGTGGAACGATGGGCTGATGTACCAGTCTGTCGGCAACAATAGATGGGCGGTAAATTGATGTGGTTGATTTGGAATGGTCCACAATAGCAGGGTCGGAGTTTCGGTACGTCGGACAGTCGTAAATTCTGCGTGTCGAGCAGTACGTAGTCTTCTGACTGTACGTGAGTGGGTGGCGGTGGCGGTCAGCATTGCGTTTAGCGATGACGTTGGCTTTCTTCATTGCTTCTGCGGCTCTGGTTCGGGCAGCTTGCAGAATCTCGGCGAATTGCTGTGTGTGTGGCGTGGTTTTGTCTGGGCTCGGCGTCAAGAGCACTGTTAGGTGGTGCCCTCAGTTCAGGTAAAATGGAGACTGCTGCGTCGTCGCTGACGCGGCATTGTTGTACGCGAACTCGATCAGCGGCAGCTGCTGCTCCCAAGTGGTGGGGTCGTCGCACGTGGCACGAATCAACTGCTCCATCGTTTGATTTGTCCGCTCCGTTTGGCCATCGGTCTCGGGGTGGTACGACGAGCTGAACTGTAGCCTGGTCCCGAACTGCTCCCAAAGGTAGAATCGGCTGCAATGGACCTGCCTTTCGTTTTCGCAAGCTCTTCATCACCTAACACGTAGGGCACAAGCCCACGTGGTGCTGTACGTCGGTCAACAGCTCCTACCAGTAGTAGTGCCACTGCAGTTCTGTCGCGTTTTTTCTACCCCGAAGTGCCCCAAGCTAACCCCGTCGTGTGCATCCTACAGTAACAGTTCCCTCAGTAGCGAGTGCGCGGGTACCCAAATGCGGTTGGTGCCTGTTTTTACGTTTAAAAAACCCTTTGCTTTTGCTAGTTGCTGTGAATTTCCGATCATGAAAAATGGGTCGGTGCGGTATTCGGGGGTGAATAGGCCTGTTAGCAGTGGGTTGGTTTGGGCGAGTAGGATGGCGTGGAGTTGGGCGGTAGGGCGGGTGAGTGCGTCGGCGATATTTGATGCGCCTTTTTTGTACGTTACGGTGTAGTGGAAGTTGGACTTTAGATAGTTTAACTAGGGGATCTGTCGCGGGTTGAGATTCGGTTGGGCGCGGAGGTACTGTAGTGATCGGTGGTCTGTCCGTACTCTCACCTCTGCTCCCGTGAGGTAACATCGCCACACTTTGAACGCGTGCACGATCGCCAGCATATCGTGGTCGTGTATCGGGTAGTTGTGTTCGGGTGGGTGAAGCTTGCGGGACCTATACGCGATTGGCTGGAGGCCGTTCCCGAAGTCCAGCAACAGTACTGCTCCCACAGCGATGACGCTAGCGTTGGTGACGAGCTCGAACGGACGGTGAGGATCGGCGATGTGAAGTACGGGCGGCGAGCACAAAATTTTCTTGAGGGCCGAGAAGGCAGCTTGCTCTTTCTCCCCCCACGTGTACTCAACCCCCTTCCTCAGCAGGTCGGTCAACGGAGCAGTCAACTTCACCACGTCGGGGACGAACCGGCGCACGTAGTTGACGAACCCCAAAAAGCTATGCAGCTTAGTCAGATTTGTCGGCGCGTGCCAGGCTTGAATCGTCGCGATCTTCTTCGGATCTATTTCCACTCCGTCAGCTGAAAAAATGTGACCTAAAAACTCCATGCTGTCCTGCAGAAACTCACACTTAAAGGCTTTTGTCAGTAGGTGGTTCCCACTCAGTATTTTAAAAACTGCTTCGATGTCCTGTAGGTGCTGTGCTCTGTCGGGGCTGTAAATCAGTATGTCGTCGAGGTATAAAATGACACACTTATGAGTATGTCATCGTCATTTGAAAGGTTGCGGGGGCATTGGTCAGTCGGAAGGGGATTACAGTGTATTCGAAGGACCCGTAGCGTGATCGGAAAGCTGTCTTTGGGTAGTCGGGTGGGTTAACGTGAATCTGGTGGTCATCTGGTTGATGTTTGAGAAAACTCGGGCTGTGCGCAGTTGGTCGATCAGTTCGTCAGCTCGTGGGATGGGGTAACGGGACTTGATGGTAACTCGGTTCAGTGCGCGGTAATCTATGCACATGCGAAAACCTTCATTCTTTTTTGGTGTGAACAGTATCGGTGCTGCGAATAGTGATGAACTCGGGCGAATAAACTCCTTCTCGAGCAGGTCATCTAGCTGCTTCCTCAGTTTGTCTAGTTCGGGTTGGGTCAGTTGGTGTCAGAATCCCAACCACTAACCATTGGGATAAAAGGGCTTGTTTGTATAGCGGGTGAGTGCGCCCATAACCCCCCAGGCCAACGTGCCTGTAACCCTTCCCTAGGATCAATCGGGGATCACCAGTGGACCTCTTACACCCCCCCACACTGGGATGCCCGAGGTGCATACACCGGGATTCGAACCCGAGACCTTCGCTCTGATACCATGTCAGAATCCCAACCACTAACCATTGGGATAAAAGGGCTTGTTTGTATAGCGGGTGAGTGCGCCCATAACCCCCCAGGCCAACGTGCCTGTAACCCTTCTCTAGGATCAATCGGGGATCACCAGTGGACCTCTTACAGTTGGAACTATCGCTGTATTGTCGGCTGTGCCCCCGAACCCTAACTCTATTCGGTGGTCGTGCGGTCGCTGGGGTGGTAGTCCTATCAGCAGGTCATATGGGAAAAAACCCACTGTACTGCTTCAGTAGTGCAAGTCATCCGGCACGTCAGCTAGCAGTTTCTGTAAATCACTCCCCTTGTCGACTGCCTCGGCTTCCCGAATATTAACCTTATACACGCCAGCTCCTGCTGCTACGGCGCGTTTCATCGTGATCGCGTTGATACGCAACGACGAAGACTCAGGCGATCCCCAGCAAGGTAAGGCAATGTTGTTACCGTTCACTCGCACGGTGCAGTTACCCATCGTCCAGTCGATTCGTTGATTGTGTCGTCGCAGCCAATCACGGCCGAGTAAAATGTCGGTCCCGTCGAGGGTTGTCGCGAGCATTTCCTGACTAAACGTGAAGTTACCCCCGCATCGAATCCGAACCCGGTCTACGCGTTCCCGTATCGCCAGTGGCGTGCCGTC